TGATGACACTTTACTCATGTCATTTATGAGCAAGTTCTTGGTACTAAGTAGTTGTCGGTTAATTATGACTTTCCATCTTGCCCTGGCTGATAATTGAAATGGCCACATCCTTAGCATGAGGTTGAAACTCCTTTAAATCAGTCTTCTTAGCCTTCCTACTTGCTCTAGGATGTCCTGGTCCTGTCATGAGACAGAGAGCTTCATCTTCAAGATCTAAAGTTGTATGGAAAGAATATCCAGGTGTTGGTTGTGAGGTAAGAGCCTTGTCAAAGCCGGCCACGATGATGGAGGGGAAGTTCCCTGTGTGGGGTGCTGTGGCACAGGAAGGGCAACACTTTGGAGCTAGGCCCCTCTGAATAAGATCCCCTGTCCATTGCTTGCTGGCCCCTGAAGACCTTAATTAGCCCGTCTGAGACCCAGGATTCTCACTTGCAGAATGGGCTCAGAAAGAAACCCTGCTTCACAGGGTCTCTGTGAGGCTTAAAAGAAATGACAGTTCAGAAGGGTTTTGCATAGAATTTGTGCTCAATAAATGCATCCACTTCTCCTTGTCAAACATACAAGTGTGAAGCGCTATTGTTTTAAGAATTCTTCTCAATACTTTTGGCTTCTGGCCTTGGCAATTCAAGATGGCAGCCTGTGCCCCAGCTGGACTTGTTACTGTCATTGTGTTTTCCTTCCTGCCCATCAGAAGAAACTAGTGCAAACTTCCACATCCCTGACAGCTGGCAGGGAGGGGAGGGTCAGATGAGGACCATCTGCTCCTTGTTCTCCTGCAGAAGGGCACTGGCCAGCCATGTTCAGCCTCTCCCCGTCAGGTCCCTTGGGCTTAGATCTCACATCCTGATGCTTTCAGAGGGGGATGTGGCAGGAAAGGTGGATCCTGCACCACTGTCACTTGTGCCCAGCACTTATCAGGTTTCACGGGTGAAACTGGAGAGGAGCCTGGGCCCTGCTCTCATGCCTGAGCTCATGTCCTAAGCTCAGTGACTTTAGACAAATTGCCTAACCCCCTGGGTCTCAGTTCACTCATCTTTAAAACAGAAGTCACAGAGATGAAAGTAACTCCCACATACAACTTTTTTTTTATAAAGACTGAGTTATGCAGGCAAAGTGCTTCATCTGGTGCCCAGAACATGGTCAATAGTTAATAAATATTAGCTGTGTTCTTGTGTTACTCATATTATCACCCTTGATCCCCACAAGCTGCCCAGGGTTTACGCAAGCCATATATGATGTATTCCTTTTCAAGAAAAGTAAACCGAGGCTGCAAGATTCATGGTCAGGGAGCCCACAGGAATGAGTGGCCGAGCCTGGATCCCTGTAAGAGACTGCACGACAAAAGTGTCCACTCCACTACTTGATCGTGCCCAAACACTGTTCCACAGGCCTGCCTGCACAGGAAAATGCAGATGCCTGGGCTACTCCTTAGATCTACTGAGGAACCAGAGCCTGGAAATCTGTCTTTGTAAAGTGCCTCTCAAGGAATCCCAATGCCTAGCTGCTGTTGGGGTCGCCGTCTTCATCCCTGAGCACAATGCTCATGGGTCAGTGCAGGGCAGGGGGACAGGACAGGCGCTCCTGAAATAACAAACAGCTTCACAGCCAGCAG